CCTCTATCTTAAAAATACACAACTTATCTCACAGTTTGAAAAAATATATAGTAAATTTCAGTCATACTTTAAAATGTATACTTTTAAGTTTCTCACAAAGATAGGATAAAAATCTTGAAATAAGAGTTTAAAATTAATGTTTAATTTTCCCTGAAGTACATAAATAATTATGAGTATCTAGGATGCAATGGAAAACAATGCCAAACACCATTTACTGACCATATTAACCTTTTATATCTACATATTGATAGAAATAATATCAATTTCAATAGTCTACATAGTTTGGGAAGTCTACAGGATTTCATATTTAAATTACTGCGTAAATATATTATGTATAATCTGCATATAGGTATAAACATGCCCACATGATAAAATGATGAAAACATTAATATTTCAATCACATAGAGTTGGCTATACAAGCAACTTGCTTTGACTTAGACCATCCCAGTGTACTGAAACACACACACACACACACACACACACACACACTCATTTAAACTCAAACTGATCAACTCGAACTCAAATTGTGAGAGTCAGCACCTAGGTAAAATATAGGAGAGTACAAAATGAAATCTGATATTCTAAACCTAGCTAAGTGTCAAAATTTGTTCCATAAATAAAAGCTCTCAAAGTGCTCAGTGTGGAAGACTATTTTGATACTTGGAAATCAACACTTGGGAATGTAAAATGTAGATTATTTTTTTCTATCCAGTTCATTTATCCAGCCCATCGCTGAGAAAGGTTCTATTAAAGAATAAACACAATAAAATTAGGCAAAATAAAGAGAAGTAAGCAGGCTGTGTATCTAAACAATGGAACGAACAGCACTATAGCTACCCCAATGAGTGCACTAAATTTATGGATTATCTCAAAATAATTTTAGTTTAATTTTGGAATATATTGTAGAACTAGGCATATTAATGGGTTTGGTTTTGGCAAATAACATCTTCAATTTACCTAGGGATAAGAGCTATGGGGATACGAGATAGGAGAGGAAGGTGCTAAGAGACAGAGACGTGCAATCTTGCTATAGGTATCACTGCAAATAACTCACAAAATAGACGACCAGCACAGTTAATGAAGAGCTAACTGCATTGTGTTTTCAAAACCCATTATCCTATGTGTCACAAACAAAGCTTTGCCTTCCTTTTCATTCATTCCAAACGTTTTATTTGCCCTTGCCCAGAAACTGACGCCACATATCAAATGGTTCGGTTGAAAACATTCTCCAAATTTCAATTCCAATTAATTTTCACGGTTTTCTGAAGATCAAACATTGTTATTCCTAAAGTGTGTGGCTTTCAATGCTGATCAAATCCCTTGAATTATAGAACCTGCAAGCTTGGCTCCAGCAGTTTTGTTGAATAATGTAGAAGAATTGTGTTCATGTGTGTTTAATATCCTGTTTTAAACTATTAGGTTGGTGCAAAAGTAATTGCGGTTTTATCACTGTTGAAATTTGCCATTTGATATTGGAATACATTCTTAAGCAAATGTGGTGATGTTGTACATCATTTTAACGCACATTTCTTGCTTTATGTTTTTTTCCTAATGACCTATTACTTGCTATTTATTTGATATGTTTGTTACACTATGGAAATGATGTTAGACAAAAAGCAAATTCAAGTGATTTTCTTATTCAAGTTCAAAATGGGTGGTAAAGCAGCAGAGACAACTTGCAACATCAACAACGCATTTGGCCCAGGAATTTCTAACAAACGTACAGTGCAGTGGTGGTTCAAGAATTTTTGCAAAAGAGACGAGAGCCTTGAGATGAGGAGCGCAGTGGCCGGCCATTGGAAGTTGACAACGACCGATTGAGAGCAATCATCGAAGCTGACCTTCTTACAACTACAGGAGAAGTTGCAGAAGAACTCAACGTCAACCATTCTATAGTCTTTCAGCATTTGAAGCAAATTGGAAAGGTGAAAAAGCTCTATAAGTGGGTGCCTCGTGAACTGATTGAAAATCAAAAAAATCATAGTCTTGAAGTGCCGTCTTCTCTTATTGTACGCGACAATGAACCATTTCTCCATCAGATTGTGACATGTAACGAAAAGTGGATTTTATGACAACCGGCCATGACCAGCTCAGTGGTTGGACTGAGAAGCAGCTCCAAAGTACTTCCCAAAGCCAAATTTGTACCAAAAAAAGGTCATGGTCACTGTTTGGTGGTCTGATCCACTACAGATTTCTGAATCCCGGCAAAACCATTCCATCTGAGAAGTATGCTCAGCAAATCTATGAGATGCACTGAAACTTCGACGCCTGCAGCTGGCATTGGTCAACAGAAGGGGCCCGGTTCTTCTCCATCACAATGCGCGACTGCATGTGGCACAACCAAAGCTTCAAAAGCTGAACGAATTGGGCTACGAAGTTTGGCCTCCTCCCCCCTATTCACCTGACCTCTTGCCAACTGACTACCCCTTCTTCAAGCACCTTGACAACTTTTCGCAGGGAAAATGCTTCCACAGCCAGCAGGATGCAGAAAATATTTTCCAAGAATTCCTTAAATCCCAAAGCACGGATTTTTACGCAACAGGAATAAGCAAACTTATTTCTCGTTGGCAAAAATGTGTGGATTATGATGCTTCCTATTTTGATTAATAAGGATGTGTTTGAGCCTAGTTATAATGATTTAAAATTCATGGTCCAAAACCGCCATTAGTTTTGCACCAACCTCATATTAATATTTGGCATGTTTGGGCAACAAAGTTAAATACTCTTGTGGAAGAAAATACTTGATTTCTCAGCAATGTAAACACTCAATGTAGGATAGATTTGCATAATGTTTATCACACATGCAAATCAAGAATAAGGCCTGTGTATCTTTTCTCTAAGACATTTCTAGAATGGTAAGAGATATTTGGATTGAGAGGACTGGTTTATTTACCTGGACATAAGGTAGTACAGGCTATTTTCTGCACACTCTGCCCTT